TATTATTATTATTATTATTATTATTATTATTTTCTTTTTTTTTGGGGGGGGGGGGCATATTTGAATATTATCAAATATTAATTATTCACATAATGGCCCAAAGACAAGAACAACTAATACGAACCAATGCATTAAATGTCTTTAAAATGGCAGCCTAAAATAGTATGTTTTTTTTTTTTTGTTTTTTTTTTTTTTGTCGTTGCTTTGTTATTTCCAAGTTTTTGCCATGTTTCGTGTTATTTTGAAAGGTCACACCGGAAACACTCGCTGAAATCCCGTGCTGCTTTACTTTGACAGTCCTGATAGGGGGAGCAGGCAGGTTCGACTCGCCCTCCCGGAACTCTCTGCAGCCGCAGCGGCTCTAATCATTTTAACACAGGGGTTCGGTCCAACATGGCGGCGCACGGATGGAAATACTGATGACAGTCCGAAAGATCGCCTCGATTTGTACGATGGTAAGCAGGTCCGAGCTGGTTGTTAGGCCGGGACCGGTGGCTGTCCGGTCTGCAAAGCTCTGCTCTCATGCTGGTAGTTATCTGTCCTGCTTCTCCTGCTAGCCTGTTTGTTAGCCAACATGATGATAACACAGTGTTCCCAGAAAGTTGTTCGGGTCAAGTCAGGCTCTCCGAACCCAGAACACGGTGCTGTTTAGAGAGGGAACTGGGCCGTTAGTGTGTGTGTGAGGAGCAGAGAGCAGCTCCATCCCAGTTCTGGTTTGTTTAAACTGACCGAAGTGGTCGGCAAACGGCTAGCTTAGCCTGCTAGCCGCTGGAGTTCTTATCTGGGATAAAGTTGCTGTGAGATATAAATGAAACTTTTTCCTTCCTGTTTTTTTTTTGTTTTACAGTTGCTCCTTTTCTCCAAATAGCAGAAATATAAGAGAGACAATGGAAAGAATTAGAGGATGTTCACAGTTCAAAGCAGCTGAAACTGAGTAAATCAGAAAAAATTGGTATTATTGATTCATACCTGAATGATTCAGCTAAAACGAGTTTGCTGACAGAAAGCTGATTTCAGGGAAAATAAAAACAACAAAAAATGAACAGGTGTTCTAAACCAGATAGGGTGCTGAGGTCCTGTTTAAGAAGCACACACCTCAAAGACATAGAAATCCTCATCAGCATGTCAGCAATAAAAAAACTTTATTGATCTCACATTGGAGAAATAACCCATCCTCTTGGGGAGCAGTGGGCTGCCATCGTGGGGCACCTAGGGAGCAATCTCGTTAGGGTCTTTGCACAGGGACCCAGAGTGGCAGGCTGTGGAAGTGGTTTTCAGACTCACAACCTCAGGATTCCAACCTCTATGCCCTAATCACTAGGCCTTTTCAAATACTCTGAATTGTCACCATTTAAGGAAACTCTTAAAACATTCTAAAGGGCAGATTAGACTTCTACAACATCAAACGTCGCTTGGGTCTGGTTACAAACCAGTTTTGCTGTTATGTTTCTGCACCGTTGGTCTGGAATTTTTAGGGATGCACAGCAGTTTCCCACCAAAGCGCTAGGGGGAGCCTATTCGAGAACTCATGAGAACTTTGGCGGATGGTCACAAAAACTTCAGCGGCACCGTCTGGAGTGTTTTACCTTCCAAAACAACAATGGTGCATCTGCAAGATATCACAGTCACGGAGATGGATCTAGAGTTGCTAGACATCGAAGAGGAACAGGTTCTGTTAATGGAGCGAACCTTTCTCGATTAACCTTTCGTCGTAGTTGTCCATTGTAGTTGTTCCTCGGTTTTTAAAAATGGCGTGCCCCGGCACCGTATCGAGAAGGACGACCACACAGACAGCCGGAAAGGCATATCAAGGACCAATCACAGCTGCTTTTTGTCTGCGCACTTCTGCTTGAGGTCTGTGCAGGTTTGCGACCTTCAGACGTGGAGTCAGGATTTTTTTTAGGTGTGGGATGATGGTTGCAGAACCTCTGCACGGGGGGCGTGGTCACGCACAGAGACAGACTTGACGACGGCATATGCTATGCATCAGCAGCATAAATTGGCCTTATCATTGCAAATGATGCTGAGAACTGCCTGTCAGCTGGCTAAAAAACATGTTTTTATAGCACAAATGAACAAACCGATAGAAGATTAAATCTTTTTTGGGTGTACGTAATATACATATTGTTGGGATTTCGGAGAATGCTGATGTTGATATCGTAGCATGGTGGAATAACAAAAGTGTAATATAAAGGCGGATTTATACTCAGAAACCAGGTCATTTCTTTTACCATGAGAACTCCTCAGTAAAAAAGAAATTATTTGAAATAATTGTTCAAAAATGGACCCTACAATAACTGATTATAAAATACAAAAGATATTACTAAATCTTTGAGCATTTTATGCATTTCACCTCTGATAAAACAACATAAATATTTTGCCCGGAAGTTAGTAATGAATTTAATTAAATGCTAAATAAAATCATAATATAAACCTGTATTTATAAAACTGCAGTGAAATTCTGGCTTAAATATGTATATAAATGTACTCTTTATCAGACGATATTGTCCCAAAATTTTGAACAATTCTATTTAAACAAAATAGTGTTTTTTTTTCTTTCGTTATCTTATGCAGGCCAGTTAGTTATACGTCAGCTTGTACACCTAAATTCAGCCAATCATATATCAGTGGTTATCTGTCAATCAAATTTTTCCGGCCATAGCATCTTTGTCCCCACTTTCCTCCCCTAAATAAAAATTGTATGACGGAGGAGACTCATCCACGACCTCCGACACAAAACTCTCCTCCTCTTGCATGTTTCCGCTGTCCATAGCGTTCCTTGACAGTGTCGTTTCTAAGTCACCAATTTAGTGCTACTTGGTACAGATATAATTTCCCATTGGGAACCTACTAGCACTAAGTTGCTAACTGGTTAGCAAGACGCTTCCCACAAACCGGCCACAACCAAACTTGCTTGCGAACCTTCTGCCACAACAATTCCGCCATCTTGATAAACGACCAATTACATTCACTTTATTCACTCATGTAAAGTCGGGAAACACTGGGGAGAATTCGGATATGCAACCGTTGGAACAGCCGCTTCCCTACGACTTTAATTAATAAATTGTTTTTAAAAGGGTTCTCAGAAGTATCGATACTGGAACGCTGTATCTGCATACAATACTAATTTGTCCTGGTATCGATTAGGGCTGGATGATTTTTTTGAAAATCAAAATTGCGATTATTTTCAACCAATATTGCGATTTAGTTGCGATAATGCTTTTCACTAAGCACAAGCATGTTGATATTTTACTCCAGGGTTTCAGTTTTTTTCATGACCATGAAAACTTGCTGGTCTAAAGTCAAGCTTGTCAATACTCTTTAACTTGCACAAACAAGTTCTCATTTTTACTATAACGTAATAATCTAGGTGCTAGCTGCAACTCTGTCTTCCCTTCTGCGCGGAGGCATACCCACTTTAATCGTATTACTGCTAACTAAAGGGCTGGAATGAGAACTGCAGTGTCTTACTCTTGTTAAATGTATTGAGATTAATAATTGAGTGCCTCTGCGATTTGAAAACAGCCTTTTAATAATTGTGATAATATTGCAAATGCAATTCATTGCCCCGCCCTAGTATCGATAATAAATACAAGGGTTGTTTGCATAATTTTTCTATAGTAAAGTTTAGATTTCTAGATTACTCGCACATTAAATAAACAATACATTAAACCACTTTAAAATGTTACCAAATTGTGTTATATGTGGGCTATTTGTTTACATTTATTTGTAAATCTGTTTAACTACAATCTGATTCTGCGGGAAAAGCATGTTTATTTAAGAGATTGAAAAAAGCAGAGTTTTTCTTGTAAAATGAGTTTTATGCCTTTAATTATTTGGTATTTCTCAAACAAATGTATTGAGTATCGAATATTTTCCTGAGTTTTACATTTTAATATCATGACAACCTTTGGATTTAAAAGAGGCCTTTCTCAGTAAAGGGCTGCAACTAAAGATTATTTTGCTAATCAATTATCTGTTTTTGTTTTTTTTTTTTGTTCAATCAATAATTAGTCAGGTATTACCGGTAAAAGGTTTTTACAGAATTTAAGTGGGTGAAACTAAAACTCTACCTCTAGGAGTTCTTGGTAGGACATATTGACAGATAATTTATTTTTTTTTTTTTAACCTTAAAGCAAAAAGATTGCATATTATTTCACAATCTTGATAGAATAACTGCTCTAAGTGGGTTGCTCTGCAAGCTAAAGGCATGTTTTAGAGTCTCTATACTCCAGTTAACGATTAATCCATTACTAAATAAGTTGACCATTATCTCTCTGCTGATTAATCAGATTAATCTTTTCTGCTCTAATTCAGTATAACATATTCATAATTTTATAATAATATCTATACCATTTATACAATTTTTTTAAATTTGGAAATGTTAGGACTTCCTAAGTACTTACTAGGCTTCACAAATACAACCAATAAAGCTATTGTAAGTGGATTTGATCAGGTTAGTTAGTGGTGCTATCTGCTAACTTAACCACCCACAGATGCTCTTATCTGAAAGATGAGCTGATCTAGGTTGTCCAGCTCTGGTTTTAAAGCATAGCCTGCATGCCAGAATAAACAGTTTATAGCAAGAACTCAATATCCTTTTTTGAACAGGGAGAATAATTTCCAAACAACATAATTTCTATTTGTTTTAAGCAAGAAAATAGAAAAGTAGTAAAGATAACCACAGGTATTCTATGTGTGTCCTCTGTGTTAAGCTGCTGACTGCAGGCTGGCCTTTTAAGCAGATAGTATGATTAATTAACGTCCCAAAATAAGCATGTTATGCTTGTGTCACACTGTTGCAAACGGAGCTAAATAAACAGCACAATATTGTCCAGAAAGAATGTCTTTTTTGATTTAAAGCACATATTAAATTAAATATTGATGTGTTGATATGTATAAGATGTTATAAGTTATTTATAGATTTATAGTAAATTGTCTGTTCTTTTTCAACAGGCTGATATGAGCTCTCCACTCATTATTATGATAGGCGGCACTTCATTAGCTTTCCAAGTCATGGCCGCTCATGAAAAACGTCTTAAAAGGCGGATTTTTCCGTACTGTAGTTGAAGGGAACAGGTAGGAGTTTTTTTTTTCAGCCCACTGTCCTGCAGTGTGCAATAAAGCATCCTTGTGAATTTAATCAGTTTAGTGCAGCTTTGAGACTGATTAAAAAAAAAATTAACAAACTTTTATCTTGGTTTATGTTTTAAAAGTAAAAGAAAGAGTCCTACCACAGGAAGGGTTCATCTGCTGTGGGTGTTTCTGTTTTTCTCACACTTGAGACGGTTTTAAACACGGCTGAGCAGCCTGTCGAAGGCCTATGGGATGTCCTTAGAGAATAACCAGTTTGCTGTTAGTGAAACGGCATTCTGTCGTTAGTAAAAGTGTTAAAGAAAACAGTTTAAGGTGTTCAGTGCACACTTAAAACATTGTGGTTTATGAACCACTTATGTCCTTAAAGAAACCTTTAAATGTGAAGCTCTGTGGGTTTGATGCTTCTGCTCATTTTCATTTCTAACCTTTTACGTTTAGTGACTCATTGCCAATCTGTCACTTCAAACCAGCATTGACGGTGTTAATGATTAATGTCTTGGTGCGTTTTTCAGCTCCTTTTTTAACCAACCTTTTTAATCTTTTTTTTTTTTTGTCAGCTCCCCCTAAAAGGCAAAGTTTTTTTGCTTTTGTGTATCTTGACGTTTGCGTTTTGTTAATTTCTTTCTATGGATGTCAAGGTATGGCTGGGCGATATGGCCTTAAAATAAAATCTCCATTTTGTTTTTTAATTTTTTAATTCGAAAGACAATTTCTTTACTATACCGGTATATTTTTTTATTCATATATTTTTTCCCTACTTATTATAACCTTTTAACATGCACTCGATCGCTGGTGCTCCGTTGTGCATATTTACATTAAACACAACACAACAGTACGTTTGAAGATAACGCCGATTAAACTTTTACCAGTATAGACATGTTATACATCCTTAGAAAGCTTATGGACACCATGGCCGCCAAAGAACAGTTAATAAAGATGTAGCAGCATGTTAAACCAGAATTTTTAAAATAAAGCTTTGACTTCCTGCCTTTTTTAGCATCCCTGAGGCCGTATTATAAATAAGGGTTGCGATGATGCCATTTTTGGCCCCGATGCCTTGTGTTGGGAATTTATAATAGATTTTCACGATTCCGATTCCCTTATCGATACTGTGAAATGATTCGATTAATTGTCGATTCTCTTATCGATTCTGTTTACAATAAAACTTCTCCTGGGACATTCTATTTTTGCGTGCCTCCGCAAAACAGAAGGCAGTGAACGCGAGCTGCAAGCCTCTGAGCCAGCCAGGCTACCCGTCTCCTCACAGGCATCTAAATCTGATGGAGAAGGGATCCGTTTAATGAAAAAGCATTACTGTACAATTTCGGGAAATAAACACATCTCCCCCTGATTTAAATAAACGAGCGTCAACTTTCTCTCGCTCCCTGAAGTGCGGAGCAACTTCGTAGCATGTTTAATAATCCCAAAGAGAGGCAGGAAACTGGTTTATTACTAGAAATGGCATATGATTTACTAGGAACCACATTAAGCACAGCCAGTGATATAAAACTAGCTACTTACCACCAGAGTTGCCTTCCATGCTGGTCGTAACTTTAGCTTCTTTCCAGAAGGCATCAAAAACATGGCATTCATTAAAATGTATGCCATGTTGTGTGCGCAGGTGTTTCTGCATGTTGGATATATTTCCTCCCGCGGATGTAATTGCCACTTTGCAATGATTGCAAAAGCGCCTTGTTGCCATCTTTCTCTTCCTTAAAATGAAGCCAAACTTTTGGTTGCTTTATCTGATGGGACGCCATCTTTTATTTTCTTATTTTTTTGCTTTTCTAGACTTACGTCTGGTCACGTCATACCTGTTTACTGAATGTTGTATGCGTAACTTGTGTAGAAAAAAGTGATGTAAGTTGTGCTGCCCAGCGCTAGGCTCTGGTGCTGCCTGGAACCGTTAAGAGAACCGTTAAGCGAGCTGCCAAACGGTGCCATGAAATTGGAACACGTAACCGGTTCTGAACAGGAACTGGTTTTCAATTCCCATCCCTACCGATACCCGATACCTGGCTGTAAATATTGGCCGATACCATCCGTTTGAAATTGATGTGTGTAGAAAACTTCCACTGAACCACAAAACCAGACAGCTTCTTATCTAATACTCTGGGTGGGACTGAATGTTGCAGATCTTGGTTGAAGCCTTAATGCTCAATTCCATTTTATTTATTTATTTTTTTTGTGAAATCCAATATTTTTTTTTTTTTGCATTGCCGTTCAAATTTCCAAATAAATGCGACTTGTATGTGATCTTCTGTATGAACTGCATTCATACAACGCAGGTGTCCCGCATGCACAGTAGAGGACGCAATGATGTCACAAGCCAGTGCGTGATGTGTTTAAGGAAGTGAACGTTGATGGTAGTGCCGGAGCGTATCTAGTGATCGTTCCCAAGCTTAAAAACACAATCTTTTCAATATAGAAACTACTCTCTGCATCCCCATCCGTCATGGTTGTTGTTTTTCTCCTTCTGCGTAGCAAGACACAGAATAGTGACTTATGTCGGGTATTAATGGCATTCAGCTCGGATGAATGTGACCTAGCTGTTCAGACACAGGTCGCATTTACAAAGATAAAGATTCGTATCGGATTCAGGACCACACAGCCAAGTGGCCTGGGTCGCATTGGGAAAAATCAGATCTGAGTTGTTCAAAACAAAAAGATCAGATACAGGTCGCTTAAGGGCAAATAAATCGGATTTGGGTCACTTCAGGCTGCTGTGTGAATGTAGCCTAAATGTTTTCTTTGTGTTCTTCGATGCAAGTGATTGATAGATATAATGTTGTTGCAGAATTTAACGCCTTTTTTGCCTTTTGTTGGGATCAATCTTATTTGAAATGCTCTCAAAACAGTTTAGATATTTAATCACAATTGTGGTTATTCATTCTGAAATAATTTTAAATGTGCACATAATGAAGAAATAAAATGAGTAAAAAAAAACAAAAAACACCTGCAATGAAAGAATTGTTCTGTGGTTCCAGCAGAGCAGAAACAAGAACAAATAAAACTGATAAAACTGGGCATTTTTATTTGTGTTTGGAGCACTTTTAAGGGTTTAAAACTCATCCTGTCTTTGGTTGTTCCTTTGTCCTGTGATAAAAAACAAACAAAAAACAACTCAGTAAAACATTAATTCTGTGTTTGTTTCTTTTTCTCTCCAGGGCGCCAATGCCTCTGCCTTGGAAAAGGAGATCGGACCAGAACAGTTTCCTGTTAATGAACACTACTTTGGATTAGTCAATGTAAGTGTGTCTGAAGTCGGCTCACCACAAACACAGCAGGCTTTATATTAACTATCACATGTTCATGCAGCGACAGCTGTGCTTCATTTGGGAGGAATGGATGCTTATAAAACCCGTATTTTCTGTCTCCATTGTTTGTTTTCCTCTCATGTAGTTTGGAAACACCTGCTATTGTAACTCTGTGCTTCAGGCTCTATATTTCTGCCGACCGTTCAGAGAGAAGGTCCTGGCTTATAAGGTGAGTGTTGAATAGGAAACTAGGAGGGATTACCTCAAACTTGTTAGCTAGCAGCTGGGAATCCTTGATGTCAGAAGGTTTAATATGGAGTCCTTAAAACAGCTGTCAAAATACCAGCAGGAGATACAGAAACTATGCAGCTGATTTGCTGGACAAGAGGCGTGCTTTGCTTCAAATAAAGCTATTTTTAAAGAGGAAGGGTTTGAGGAATGAATGGGAAATTTACCACCTGTTATAAACTAGCACAGCTCTTCTGTTTGATTGTTTTTAATCAGAAATTGATGATGTGAAAGGAAAAAAAAAACACAGCAGACTAAAGTAGGAGTTTAATGTGAGTTTAATCTATTTTTTATTTTATTTTGAATTATTAATAAGTGCAAATGCACATATTTGCTCTCTTAATGGTTGAGGCAGCTGATAGTTCTAGATGGCCATATCCCGAAGACGGCATGGGTTTATTTTATTTCTAAATGAAAATTGTTGCAGCAAGAGACTCAGTCGAAATGACTTGGATTTGTAAAGTGATCTTTCGCTGACTTTAGTGTTAGCTTCCCCAGAGGATGCTAAAAACGTTATATATATATTTTTGGCACTAGTGGCTCTTTATTCAATAGTAGGCTCACAGGAAAGGGGTATGAGAGAGACATGTGGCAAAGGACCACAGGAAGCCTTCAAACCTGGGTTGCCTGCGTCGAGGACTAGGGCCTCTGTACATAGGTCATGCACGCTAACCACTGCGCCACCTGCACGCCCAATATGAGTATTTAAAAACTACATGTAGCCCAAAGGCTGTGAGCTGGACTATAGCTACGTTATTGATATTGTTGTGACAGGCTTATAATGTCGCCAAACATAGTGCTGCCATCCAAACTAATCAATAAGATAATGGCTGTTTCTCAATATGCGTACTTGTGCGTTCTCGTGTGCTCGTGAAACGTGTTTAGCCTCAGCCCCACTACTGTTCCAAATCACAAGAACATAAGCGGACAAAGTCCACGAATGTTGTTCTCGCTCCTCCTTTAAGTTATAAGTTCTCTTTTCTGTTGCTGTTGTTCTACAAAAGTATGTTTTTAAGATCATTTGAGGGGAGAATATTATACTTTTAAGCATCACTATATGGTCCATTTACTGATTTAGTGCGTAATTAAAAAAAAATATTCCGATGTTGAGAAGACCGCTGCAACCAGCGGAGCTCCGAGGCTTACCTCAGCCAAGGCTAATGTTAGCCCGTCTGCGGCAGCCCTCTCTCATAGCCGTGCGTGAAGTAACGCTGGCTCTGATGACGATTTTGGTTGTTTTTTGTTATTTTTGGCAAAATGTTCATGTTTGTTTATCTGACTTTGTTAATTATTATTTACCCACTAAATGAAAAAAGTAAGAATTTATTATTATCTAGACACTATAAATAACAGGAGGTGGAATGCAGCTCCAGATGAGCCGAGCGTGTGGTGACGTCATAAGTTTACTTCTAAGTTCAAATTGAGTCATATTTATTCTGTGTCCCCCCCCCCAGTTCATTCAAAGTCCATACTTTCTTGTGTTCTTATCTAGAACATACTTGGCGAGTAGAGAATGACATTTTTTCGGGAATCCCACGGGTTTCGGGATTCCCGTGGGATGGGAGTCAGTATTAGTAACGATCACGTGATTGGGACGGTACAGGATTAAACATTAACGGGAGCAGACGGGGGCGGGAGCAAACCAATAATGACTAAAAAAAAACTAGGATCGATGCCAAAAAAACAAAATAAAATGGAAAGGGAAAAAAAATCCAGTACTGGCGCCTCCATTTTCTAGTTTTTTTTCCTTGAAGCCTACACTATAATGCGAGTCAAAAAAACTACACGACCCAACAAAACCAACAGTGCTTCCACTCTGAGTTTTTCACCCGCGCTAAAAAAAAAAACAATGGGAGTGGTGCAGGAGTTGGAGTCATTCTGAATGGGAGCAGGATGGGAATAGGAGTAATTTCACCAGGAGTGGGACGGGACAGGATTTAGATTTCTACTCTGGCCCGGGAACGGGACGGGACACAATTTTTTTCTGTGGGAGTGGGACGGGACAGGAGTGAAAATCCACTCCCGTGTCAGTCTCTATTGGCGAGGACACAAGTCCGTACTCGCGTTCTTGTGAATTGAGAAACAGCGATTGTATCAGGATAAAACTGGTAATTTTAGCCCTAGTAAACAATAATTTACACGTCTGCATTATCGTCACCTCCTGGCCTGGAGTGTGAAAGCGCAGATCTAGACGGCTGAAGGAGAGGAGATGGGATGCTGGTCAGCAGTTTGGTCCCTGACTTAACTTTGGATTCAGCATGAAGGCATCAGGCTTTAGATTATTCAAACCAACCATAAGCCGTTTATTCGGGGTAAACCAACCTAATTAACAGAATATATAAAAGAAATATTTAACATTAAACAATTTTCTCATAGTCTACCTAGAAAAAGGGATTGTTTAAGTTGAAAATTAGTCTGCTCAGTCAAGATTAAGCTGGTTTAGACAGTGATTAAAAGCATTAAATTGGAAAAAATGTTTTATAAAGTGTATTGAGTAAACATCTGTCCACATAACTGTATGTTAAGTGATCAATAATTGTATTCTGATCATTTTAATGCGGAAAAGGCCATTTGATACATAGAAATATGAGATGAAACAATAATTTTAAAGAACAGAAAACACTGACAGTAATATTCCTGCAGCTGGGATGTTAGAAAAGGGTCAAATTGTTCAGCATTTAAATATTCAGTATTAAAGTTTTTTTTTTCATTCATAAGTGGAAAATGGAGGGGGCTCTAAGTGCATTAATGATGCTTTAAACCTGACAAGCCTCGCTGAGGTACAAATTACCTAAAAACAAGAAACACAGAAGCTATCCTGAAGAACAGAGTTCTCGTTTGTTAAAACCATAATTGTAGGATGTTAACTCCTGCTGATGGTTTCAGGTGCAGCCTCGGCGGAAGGAGTCCCTCCTCACCTGCCTGGCGGACCTCTTCAACAGCATCGCCACCCAGAAGAAGAAAGTCGGCGTCATCCCTCCCAAGAAATTTATTTCCCGGCTAAGGAAGGAAAACGGTAGGGGGGCAGGAGATGGAGAATAATTATTTCCTTTCATTTTGAGTTGAATATTTATGTAGCAGATCTGCAATGTTCAGCTGATGTCGGAGTGCTGGGCTTCCTGTACTCTCAGTGGGAGGCATTTAGCACAGCACCAAGTCTTTAGTACAAAGATATGAAGTCATTGAAAGAAACTTCCTTTCATGGCAGAGGAGTTCATGGAAGCAAACAGCTTAAAAAGGATGGAGATGAGGAGAAGGATATCAGCTGAGAAGTTAATCCCCCAGCTGAGGAAGTAATATTGTCCGTTTAATTATGGAGAAGGAGGCAAATGAAAGGAATGAGACGCTTTGCCAATAACCCAGGGATGTCATCAGTCTGTCTCCTAAACCTCATTTTGGATTAAAGTTCTTTAAGCTCTTACTAACAATTCTGTAAAAGCAGATAAAAATCAGATTGATTGATTGACTTTATTGATCTCACAGTGGAGAAATTCACTTGGCAGTCCAGGTCAATGGTCAAAAAGAAGGTGCAAAAGGAGAAAAAAATATATATATATATACACTACCGTTCAAAAGTTTGGGGTCACATTGAAATGTCCTTATTTTTGAAGGAAAAGCAGTGTACTTTTCTATGAAGATAACTTTAAACTAGTCTTAACTTTAAAGAAATACACTCTATACATTGCTAATGTGGTAAATGACTATTCTAGCTGCAAATGTCTGGTTTTTGGTGCAATATCTACATAGTTGTATAGAGGTCAATTTACAGCAACTATCACTCCAGTGTTCTAATGATACAATGTGTTTGCTCATTGGCTCAGAAGGCTAATTGATGATTAGAAAACCCTTGTGCAATCATGTTCACACATCTGAAAACAGTTTAGCTCGTTACAGAAGCTACAAAACTGACCTTCCTTTAAGCAGATTGAGTTTCTGGAGCATCACATTTGTGGGGTCAATTAAACGCTCAAAATGGCCAGAAAAAGAGAACTTTCATCTGAAACTCGACAGTCTATTCTTGTTCTTAGAAATGAAGGCTATTCCATGTGAGAAATTGCTAAGAAATTGAAGATTTCCTACAACAGTGTGTACTACTCCCTTCAGAGGACAGCACAAACAGGCTCTAACCAGAGTAGAAAAAGAAGTGGGAAGCCGCGTTGTACAACTGAGCAAGAAGATAAGTACATTAGAGTCTCTAGTTTGAGAAACAGACGCCTCATAGGTCCCCAACTGGCATCTTCATTAAATAGTACCCGCAGTAGCTTGTTTGTGCTGTCCTCTGAAGGGAGTAGTTCACACCGTTATAGGAAATGTTCAATTTTTTAGCAATTTCTTGCATGGAATAGCCTTCATTTCTAAGATTTCTAGTACAGACCAAAAGTTTGGACACACCTTATTCAAAGCGTTTCTTAAATTTAATGACAGTGAAAATTGTAGATTCACACTGAAGGCATCAAAGTTGTGAATTAACACATGACATATTTTCGGTTGTTTCACACTTTTTTGTTAAGTATACAATTCCACGTGTTAATTCATAGTTTTGATGCCTTCAGTTTTATATATATATATATATATATATATATATAAAACAATGGTGAAGTCTCTTGTTTAACAGTATTATTGCACAGCGTATTTAAGAGTGATTGGACATTTGTTATTGCACAAGTTATTGCAGATATAGATGTGGTGTTCACATCTCTCCCTCTCAGAGTTGTTCGACAACTACATGCAGCAGGACGCCCACGAGTTCCTCAACTACCTCCTCAACACTATCGCAGACCTCCTCCAGGAGGAGAAGGGCCAGGAGCGTCAGCAGAACGGAAAACTGGTGCAGAACGGGAGCGGAGGAGGAACAGGAGGAGGAGAGGGAGGAGAAAGCGAGGGTGGAAAGGAGACGCAGCAGACTTGGGTCCATGAGATCTTCCAGGGAACGCTGACCAACGAGACGCGCTGCCTCAACTGCGAAGCCGTGAGTGGCGCCACTTCTTCGCATAAAGAATTCCACGTTGTACAAAGGAGGACGAACGTTTGACCAAAGTCGCCTGTCCTCTGCTTCCCCACAATATGTTGCAGGTGAGCAGTAAAGACGAAGACTTCCTGGATCTATCGGTGGACGTGGAGCAGAACACTTCAATCACGCACTGTCTCAGGTTATCCTGCTTTTTATCCACTAAACCTGACCAAAACCGATTAATCCTGCAAAAAAACTTCATTTAAAATGTATATTTCTGTGTTTGAACTCAACAGGGGCTTCAGCAACACAGAGACGTTATGCAGCGAGTATAAATACTACTGTGAGCAATGCCGCAGCAAGCAGGAAGCCCAGAAAAGGTAGGTGACATCATCATTTTTTATTTCTCACATTCATACGATGACAAATGCATCTAGTGGCATTTTTTCTTTTGGATCTGAGTAAAACCTCAATCTTATTTTAGATAAAGAGAAGTTTTGTCCTATATTGACTTCTTGTTTTATACCTGCAGCTTAATAATGATAAGAAATGTGTAAAACCTAAAGTAATAAATGCAGCATAATCTCACGTTTATAAAAAGAAGGATGTCATGTGATCTTTCTGAGCTCCTGCAGAGCTGCTGTTTCTCTCTAGTCTGTAGCACGAGCCCATTCTGCAGAGAACATATGTGTTTATACTTTGTTCCATTAGAGATCACCACTGCAACCACATCTTAACGTCACCATAGCAGCAGGTCAGGCCCTTCCTGTTACATTCTGAGAACTTATTCGCCTGTCGGACGCAGTTTTATCTGAGCTGCTCCACTGACTTCCCTTTATGAGACATTTTTAGCTTTCTGCGGTTTACAAACTGTTCAGTGCATCTTCTGAAATGCTCCTGCATGTATTTTTTACCTGAGAACCTGCTAAGTGCACCAAGTGACGTCCATTATTATCGGCAGAGACTGCACTTTGCATGAGAGGAAGAGTATTTGTGGCGCAGCTGAATAAATGGGCGGGGTGGGGCTGCTTACCTCTGGTTGCTCTGGAACTGTGATGCTTCGTCATGGTTGGTTCTGAAAGGTTTAGCCTTGAGTAGATCAGAGGTTTTAGGTTCTTCTTTATGCTTTTATTCAAAAACACATTTGTCTGCCTTTTTCTCTTTTTTTGTCTTTGTTTTTTTTAATAAAGCATGCAAAATCACAAGTACTCAGACAGCAGGAATGTGTCATTGTTTTTGTTTCATATATTGCCTTCCTTTTCCCCAGAATGAGGGTAAAAAAGCTGCCGATGATCCTCGCCCTCCACCTAAAGAGATTCAAGTACATGGACCAGCTGCACCGCTACACCAAGCTGTCCTATCGGGTCGTCTTCCCTCTGGAGCTTCGGCTTTTCAATACGTCTGGGGACGCCACCAACCCCGACCGGATGTACGACCTGGTCGCCGTGGTGGTACACTGTGGCAGGTGGGCTTTAGATCAGGAGCACTAAGTTGCTAACTGGTTAGCAAGATGCTTCCGACAAACCGGCCACAACCAAACTTGCTTGCGAACCTTCCGCCACAACAATCCCGCCCTCTTGATAAACGACCAATCACATTCACTTTATTCACTCTTGTAAAGTCAGGCACCACTCGGGAGAATTCGGAAATGCAACCATTGGAAAAGCAATTTCCCTACAACTTTCATTCCCCTCCCACTCTTTTTAAGGTGGAATTAAGTATTGGAGTACTATATTTGCTTCCTGCTAGAATCTGATGAGGCTATCAGGCATATCTTGCAACTGGAAAGCTTTAAATCTTTGATGCATCAGTTGACAAGTCCCATATCTAGGGCCCTATAAAATCTGTTTTATTTTTTCCCAAATTCCGTTTTCTCCGTTTTAATTTTTGAAAATTCAGCTTTTTCCGTTGTAATTTTTGCGAATTCAGTTTTTTTACCCTTTACTGTCATTTCAGTCGTAAAAAATGTTGTGCTTTTAATGTTAATGATTAAAATGTACACAAATAAAATAGGAATGATCTTCAATTTATTGAGGTAAAAAAACCCATTTACTCAGTACTTTTACTGCATGATGCAACATAACACTGCACTCTAAGTACTAACAACATATTAAGGGTTATGAACCAATGGTTATAAATAAAAGTCTCCATTAGCTTTTTCAAGTAAAAAAATAAAATAGGACCTCTCAATTTCAGAATTATAAAGTATTTCATAAAGAATCAGATTTTTCATACAGTACATAAGTACATAAAAACAACGCAAAATACAGCAAGTATGTAAGCGTTTCTCAACTTTTTTGTCGAAAGCGGAGCTGTGGAGAGCCGCTTCGCCATTTTTTCAATGTTTTGATGGGGGAGGGTGAGCGGAAATGACGGAGCGGGAAGGGTCGTGTCGCCCAGATTTGCGTCCCCTGGTGTGCATTTCCCCTCTATATTATTTCTCCCAAACAAAAACAGAATTTCATGTCAAATGTAGAAATTCCGCGTTAATTTGACAATTCCGCAATTCCGTCCGCGATTCCGTGATCGCGGAAATTATAGGGCCCTACATATCACTCTATAACCCAAAATATGTGTTTCTTTTTAGTTATTTAAAACCACACTAAACTAGGGATGCACGATATAATCGGCCCCCTATCGGTATCGGCCTTAAAACTGAATATCGGACATCGGCCACCGATATTTGACCCGATATTTGATCGGCTTCTGAGTTTCTAAAGTCTAAAAAAAAAAAAAAAATACTTCTTCTTTTCTTCCTCAAAAACTTC